AGTAGGTTTTGTATTATCAGATAGATCCTGTGAACTATAGAAACTATGCTAAAATGGTTAGGCACGTTTATCTTATAAGTCAAGTTAAGCACGCTACTCTTATAAGTCAAATATTGGTGCAGGTTACAAATATGCATTTATCTGCTAATGTGCATCCTAGAACAGGATTTTATTTATTTTTGATTATTCTAATGTAAATTTAAAAGATCATGTAAAAATTATATTTGAAGTAAGAGCTTAAGAATAAATAAAAAAAATATCTCGAATTACAATAATAAAATATTATGTTTTAGATTCTAATTTGCTTTTATTGATCTTTTAAATTCTGGTATTATTAAGAAAAATAGCTTATTTAGCTTATATTTTGTGTTATGTTAACAAATTTCATTCAAGTAATTTAGAGATTTAGACCATGAAGACAATCATAGAAATATATTTGAAAGGAAAACAAATAATTGAAGTTACTTACAATTTGAAAGTTATCCCCAGGAAGCAACCTAGTACTAGTTATGTTTCAAACATTTTCTTATAAAGTTTCAAACTTATTGAAAATGTTGAGAACAAACCTAGAATTATGAACTTATCTGGAAATTATTTCTGTTTTCATGTAGTTTCTACATATTTTAACTTTTATGGTTTCAAAACCAAACCATTTACAACTAGTATGGTTATAAAACCATAAATACAGAACTATACTGTTTTTAACCATTTAAAATTAGCATAGTTTCCGAACCGTAAAGAAGAATTTAATTGGACATAAGTTTTTTGTTAGGTAATTTGCATTAAAGAGTGCATCATACTAGAAACTTCTCATGTCATCAAGAAAATGGACGAAATATTGCGGGGTTAACGCTTTGACTCAAATTCCCATTCTGTCTGTCATGAAAGTGAGATATTAGTCCTCTCGGCTATAATACCCCAGATGCAATGAACTAAGTGGTTTCATTAGGTGGGCTTAGTTGGTGAGATAACATTCTGGCTGTTTAACCGTATTAGTTGAAAGCAGATAATAAACGGTTTTTCTCACAGTTAACGGTTTGAATACAATCTTATTTATGATTATTTGACTGTTTTGTTTCAATATGGTAAAATAACATTTAAATAAATTGCTACTTAACCAATTTTTTCTGAAATTTTTAAGAGTGAAGTTTATGAAAAAGGATACATGTAATATATATCTTCATAATGTGAAGCTGTTCGGAAGCATGATGACCACAAAAACTATTATATATTTTTTGATGATTTTTTAATTTTTTTTGTTGTATGGAAATGTAGTAATTATAATAATGATACGCCAAATAATGTTTTAAACAAGGATAAATATAGTTTAAATATTATATATTGGTTTTTTCAATATACAGTACAGAACCCGTTATCCGGAAATCAGAAAACCGGAAAACCAAAAAACCGGAACGAAATTCGATAAATTTTCCGCCATTTTTTTAAAAAACAATTTTTTTTTCTTCATAAGATTTTAGGATTTTTCTTTCTTTTTGAAAAGATGTTTAGCTTACTATCATTTTGGAAATAATCATAAGTGTATTACTTCGTTTTTTCTTCTTTTTAAGATTATTTCCAAATATAATTTTTTTAAGTAGGGTTTAACAATAAAAAAAACGGCTTTTTGTAGCGATTCAGAAAACCGGAAAAATCAGTTATCCGGAATAGCGATGGTCCCGATCGCTCCGGATAATCGGTTCTCTACTGTATTTAAAAGCTATATATTTTTTAGGCTTCAGGAATGAGAATGCTTGAAATATTTCGGATATATTTTGCCCCTTTCAAGTAAATGTTTCAGACGTTTGCAAACCTAACTGCGACGGAAAATTATGTACTAAAGATGACTGTCCGACTGATACTAGAGAAGTATATGTCGGATACGAGTGCTGAAAAACTTGTAAAAAAATTCTAGATATGAACATTTTAAACAATTTATTTTCTGTATCAAGTACTTATAAAATTGTATTTTGAAAAATAATTGCAAAAAAAATACCGATTCAATTTGCGAAAATAATGCTGCTATTTGAATCTTTGAACCTAAATAAAAAGAACATGTATTGCAGTAAAACTTAACTTAGTAGATTACGAATGAAAAAACTGTTTTAAAACATAGAAAATATCACATGAGTTTTTGTAAAACATTTTTAAGTGAAAAGTTTTTCAGAATTTTAAATTCTTTGTACGTAATAACTTTTTTAAACAAATAAAGCAAAACTTTTTTGACCTTATCAATATGAATTTTATCATAAATTATTGAATAAGCCATCCATTATACTTCACGAAACATATTATTTGTTTTCATACGGTTTTAAAAAAATGTAGTTTTTGAATTAAAAATAATTGGATTTTTTTGTGAAGCTCAGTTTTTTGAGCTCTACATTCCGTGTTTAAACCAATCATATGCAGATCCAGTTTTCTGCTTGTTAAGAAAATGAATCTAAAACTAAATTTTATGCTTGGAAAATAGCAATACTTCTTTTACACTTTAAAAATTTTCATTCTGAAATTACAGTAAAATGACCGACAACAGGCTGTCCATCCAATTAACCGTAATGCTTATGGTGAGTTATATTTTTTTATATTTACGGTTTTGAAGCTGTTTAACAATTGCTACGGTTAAAAAAACATGAATACGAAAATGTACGGTTTTGTAACCCTTTACATCTAACTCTAGAATAGTACTTTTCTTAAGACTTGTTCTTGTAAAATTTGTACCCTATTTATTTTTATTTAATTTTTAAAAATAATTTGTTCCTAGTGCTCGACGTTTGCTTTTCGCGCAACCAAATTAATTATATTTTTGAAGCATTTTGTTCATTTAGACTGAGAAGAATGTTTTCTAATAATTAACCAATTTTAAAAAAAAGTTTTTTGAAGGAGATTTTTTAACAGTGGAGGCTATTAATATATAGAGGTTTTTCTTTTTCTATAAATTTTTATACTAAAGATAGGGTTGATGTTGTTTTTCGCTTGTACCTTATTCGAGATTGTTTTTATTTAATACACTAATTTCATCTGTATTTTGAAAATTTTTAATTCGGAAGGATGTAGCTGTTTTCAAATAAATTTATTTTTCCTTTGATTTCCTTAGATTGAGTTTTGTTTGTTCATTTACCATGGCTACATGCTTCATAAAATTCGTTAATTTTGATTCATACTTTTGCTATTATATTATTAGACTCTTTGTTAAGACAATTCTCAAAGAGACTTTTTGAATTATAGTGTACATCACGAAACATTTCTTAGCTGACTTTAACACCACTATCTCATTTTTTATATTTGTACTTTTTCAGAACTTGGAGATTACTGCTAGGTGAATCCCAGCTATAATGGATTTAGCACAAAAGGACCTCGAGTAGATCGCAGTTTCCCTCACTGTCTTCGTTTTTATGCATGTGATTCTGAATCAAAAAAATTTAAATGTGAGATATGTTTGTAAATTTGAAAACAGTGTTTGTTAAATCATATAACATACATTTATAACTATAAATTGACCAAAAAAATATTTTATACAAGTTCTTTTTGTTTAATAGTCAGTTTTTGAAAATAACATTATAAACTGAAAGAAATCCATCCCTAAAGTTTATAAAAAAATTTTAGATACATAAATGTATGATTTCAAATGTGGTTGTGAGATGTAACGAGACGTTTAAAAAGTAATCAAAACTTGTTTTAGTAAAAATACGTAAAGTAAAAGTAATAGATTTACCATGTTTGTGAAATCGCTGGTGCTTTCCTTGGCCACCCAGATCACCTGATATAACGCCGCTGAGCTTTTTTCTTTGGGGATTTATAAAGGACAATGTTTACAGGAGGATCGTGTCGAACATTGATGACCAAAAAGCCAGAATTACAATCGCAATAGCCTCGGTGGATGCCGACATGCTTGATGCTACCTGGCGTGAAATTGACTATCGACTTGATATTCTCCGTGCGACAAAGAGGGCACACGTGGAAGTTCATTGACAAGGGTCATGAAACTTATTGAGTCTATCTAACCATTTATGCTTTAATTTTAATCTATCTTTATTATTTTATGAGTTATTAAGCATCAAAATGGATCCGGGAATTTATAAACACCCTGTATAATTTTGGAATATATTTCTATGCAAATTTTTTTTCATAGATTAGTTTAGTATCTAATATTTGCATAGCAGAATATTTTTTTTACGTTGGAATAAAATAACTCAAACGGATATATAAAGTTTCCGATCTTATTATTTAGGAACTTAAATGACAGATTTTAGGACTGTAGTTGGGATTAAAAACATTTCAACGTTGTTGAGAGTAAATAGAATAGCTTCTAGTCCACTGAGAAAAATAAGTCAGGTCAAAACTACCAGAATATGGTAAAATTTACCATGTTTCTGGATTTTATGGGAACATCAAGACATCGGTAATTTTTACAGAAGCGCGTTAGTAGTGATTTAGGTAAATTTAAGAATCAAATACGATTCTACAATGCTAATTTGTTTCTAATCAAACATAAGGTTTGTTAATGCGACTGATAATTTTCCGCTATATCTTAGAGCATATCATAAAACCATTTATTTGCATAAATTTACTTTCCAGTTTTGCATTTTATATAAATATACGGTAACATGAATTATAGTTTTGAAAACCAGACTTACTGGTTAACCGTTTATCATATAAACGAAAAATTTACCAAATGAATGTTGTAAATACCGTATATTTTTGTATCATTAACTAGAATTATGTTTTTTTCACCAGAAATGTTATTATCATGCAGTACTGCTCGTGGTTCCAATTTCTCCGTGTACGTTTAGGAAATTTCTTTTACATGAAGAACAAATTAAATGTAGTTTTGAAACTGTTGGTTTGCCTCTGTCAATTCCATTTAAATTCAAATATTTCAATATAACACATTGTTATCACACATCATAAATTTCAGAATACCTTAAATTATATTTCATGATATTTGGAATTTACTTTTCTAAATTTCGAAAGCATGACACCTGCATTTTTATTTGTTTCATTACATGATTTGTAAGGTCCATAAACGTTCTATATAGTGGAGAGAATATAAATAGATAAGTTTCAATTAAATGTTAATGATTAGAAGTAGGTGAGTTATTTTAATGTGTTACGGATAAATTTTAATTAAAAATGCTATTGTTCCAATTAGCCTGAAATTTAGTTTTCAATTTTTCAAATTTTGTTTCAATTTTTTGAGGAAGAGGGACACATTTGGAATCGTGTGCAACTTCTAACCACTTTAAAGTAAACCATTCGTACTAAAACTATAAGAAAAGCATTTTAATAATCTATCGTACTGCTTAAAAAAAATCTGCTAAAATTTAGGTAATAAGAAAGATACTGTATATAAACAATTCATTCGGTAATTTTAACGTTAATAATTGACGGTAATTTTAACTATATGATAAAAATGCTGTTTTTTAAAGTTATATTTCTTATTATCATGCGAAAATGAGAAAAAAAACTGAAGTAAATTTAACCGATAAATGATTTTTATGCCGTGCGCTAAAGTTTCATGATAAAATTACGAAATTTGATCACATTTATCAACTTTTTATGTCATATTATAAAACCATATATTATAAGTTGTCATCAATAGGAATCATTGCTAAGCATTTCAGTAAAAATTACCGATCTTTGTGGTGCTCCCTTAGATCCAGAAACACGATAAATGTTACCATTTTCTGGTCTTTTATTTCTCAGTGCACTATAAATCTTTTAGGACAAATAGGAGAATGTAATAGGAGATTATATTCTCCTATTACTGGATAGTAATAGGACTAATTTTTACAAATAGGAGAATTCCTGCATAATCTGGCCTACAAAATATTATATTTAATGCCATGTTTTCCATAAACCCAAAGAACCACACCATGAAATTATGTTTACTACTGAAGGGGACATTGGTGAACTCAGTTTGTCAGAAAGATCTCGTAGAAGTAGTCATCTTTATATGACTTCTTCCAGAAAGACAGCTATATAAATTCTCTTACAAAACTACAAATGTGATCATTACTATATAATCTATCCATCAAACTTACCCGTTAGTTGCTTTGTAAATGGAACATTGTTCATATGCTTGGGAAGTTAACTCAGTATTCCAAGTAGCTATTACGGATGATACATGGAAACTTCGCAAAAATAATTAATTTAGTTCTAGAAACGTTATTTTTTCTGATTTTTAAAATTTTCTTATAAGCAAATCGTTGACTTATTTTTACTAACTTATAACTTATTTCTAACTCTAATTCAATTGAAATACTTGTTCACAGTATTTCAGCATTTGCTTAAAATAAACGTATTGTAATGTCTATTATGCAATTATAATTGTTAATAACTAATTTTCAATTATTATCAATAATAGTTGATCCTATTCATATACGCAATCCTTCCAGTCTTGTAAGAGTGTAGTTCCCAAAGAGCTTTCTCGGTGATTTTTTTTTTTTTGGATCATAACAAAATGGTGATAAAAATGCAGTAAAAACACATGTTCTAAATATTTTTTATGAATCATTTAGGTAAAAAATAATGTTTAGAGGAATTTTTTAATGTTTTGTGGAATTTTGCATCATCTGCATTATTAACAGATATTATAATATGAAATATACTTTTGTTAAATTCGTAATGCAAAATATTTTGCTAATAGTTTTTTTAAATTTATTTCAGAACAAGATGGCGAAATTCGAAACAAATATGCTGAACCTATTTCTCCTGATTCTTGCAATTGCTCATATGAGTTTAGCTTCCATTTGCATTCCTGATTGCACTGATGCTGAATGTAGACAAAATACTTGCCTTGAAGGCACAAGACCAGTATTTGTAAGGTGTGATTGTTGCGAAACGTGTGAAAGAGTTTTAAGTAATTTGTCTATTTATTTATCATTAATTCCCTTTATTTAAACAAATTAATTTACTTGTTTCAAGTAAATGAATATTGTCTTAACATATTATAACCAAATCTTCAAGCAAAGCATATGTATCACAAAAATACTAGTAATGTTCTAATAATATTTTTTAGCAAATACTGTTAGAAAAAGTTTCTCAAATAAATTATAAAATTTTAATCTTATTTTTTGGAACTTTAAGCACGATTTTGATATTTGTAATATTTACACAGTGAAGAAAAATCCGGTGAAATTAATATACTAATTGATAACAACATTTTTAGAAAAAATACAATAACTATGGTTAATAAAACCAAAATAAATAGTAATTTTCTGCTCATTTGGTAACGGGACCAGATATTCTGGTTTTCAAAATTATAGTTCTTATTATCATATACTTCGTAAAAGATACTAATTTTAAAGGAAAATTTAACCAAATAGAAAATTAAAAGCTAAAGAACAAATTCAGTTAAAGAAATGGTTTTTATGCCATACTCTAAAAAGTATGATAAAATTGCCAAGTCTTAATACATTGACTAAATTTTATCACAGATTATAAAATCATATTTTATTGCTAATCTTAACAAAATTATTAAAAAAAATAGTTAAAAATTACCGAGCTTTTCGGTGTTCCCAACACGATAAAGTTTATTATATTCTGGTAGTTCTCACATAATATTTTTCTCGTTGAAGATGTTTGAATTTCTTTTAAAATATTTCCAAATTTGTTGTTTTTAGAACCTGAATCTGTGGTTTTTGTTTTAGTTTGGGTCTCAAATTGAAACTTACATATAATCTCCCAATTTAAGGATTTCTATATAGACACAGAAAAAGTTATTCAATTTTCAACTTTTCAAATTAGTTTTCAATCTAAAGGCGTATTCGGAATAAAAATAGTCACAGAATTTCAATCTGTAACGAGTGATTCTTATAAAAAAGACTTTTTTGCAATTTTCTAAGTGAAACATCAAGATATAAACCTAAGCAAATTTTTCAAGGTATAATGAAGTGGGAAGAGCTATCAAGGCATTATTTTAGTTAAGGCAAAGTTGGATTACCTTTGCGATTCCAGGTTTAAAATTGATATTGTCCAACGTCCTGCGTTGTTCTCTATCTATTACCTAAGAGATAATACTTGATATAGCATAAATTCTTAGGTATTTAAGCAAAAAATGATCTCAAGAATTTAATTGAGTAATAAGTAACTAACAAATATCTCCATGTTAAAATATTAATGATTTTTTTATTTACTCTTCTTAGTTGTTATTGTTGTCGTAGGTCATTAGGCAAGGGTGAGATTGTTGTTGTTTTCCAGTGGAGCCATCTATGACCTTGAATTCGACTTCTGATACACCCATACATCACACCCGTTTATAGGACGTATCAATTCATACATTTATTCATTCATCCACCGATCTTAATCACCGATCGAATCCAGAGAACGATCAATCTCCAATTCAGTATCCCCAAATGCGCAATTTGTTATTGGAAAATTGAGGACTTCGTGATCCAACAGATCCCCATTCTTAATTAATTTGTGTTTATAAAAAAAAATATTATTAAAAAATTATTGAATGTTCCTATGCTGTTTTCAGCAGATTTGTAAAATGTATGAAAATATATTTTACAAATTTATGAGCAAATCTTAATGAACAGCATGAAGAACTGATGATATTAGATTAATGAACAACTAAATATGAACAAGTAATGTAGTCCATGTATGTTTTCAGCATCGGAAAGTGGTCAGTAAGTTTCAGTTATAGCTAAAAGAGAAACTGGGTCAAAGTTTTGTTCATTTCAGCAATAATATAACTTTAAACTAAACGTTAATACATTTCATTGTATTACAATAAGAAATATTGAACAAGAATTTTTAAAATGAAATTATTTAAACATATTAGTGCATTTTGTTCCTGAATTTGAAAATCTATTTACATGAAATTAAACCAATTTTTAAATTTCTTTTTCTAGAAAAAGGAGAAACCTGTACGATACGAGCTGAACCTTTGCTTCAACCTGAAATAGGCTCAGGAGATCGAGTTTCAATCAGTTATCCCCGTTGTGGCTTCGGTCTTCGCTGCGATTCTCAAGTACGAACATGTGTTTAAGACTTCCACTGTACTAAAAATGCTATTTATTTAGGGTAAAGAAATAAAATATTATGAAGTTTGAAATGGAGTGTACGAATCATTGAATTATTCTTGCTTTTAAAATTTTTCAACTATTAAAAGTTGTGTTTCGGTCTAACTCCCAGAAAACTAAAAAAAAAGGAACTAGTTTAAGTAATATTTGTTTAAATTGAAGTAAAGAAGATTAGGCACAGTTTCTGTATCTGATAAAATACAATGAAATAGGCTATTAAAAAGTTTAAAAGAAGCTATAATTTAATTTGTATGACATCTTTAAAAACGAAAAGTTTTAATTCATCTTAAGAAGTTAATCCCTCCTATTTGTATGGTGCTGTTGAAAAAAATAAACTTAAACAATATGCTATTGGAAACAATATATTTTTACGATCAACATTTTAAATAAAACTTATCTCTGAATCTGCAATTGCATAGTTAAATCTAGGTAAAATATGATATTGTTACAAATTATACTTACATTTTGTGCAATTTAGTATCAATTATGTGCATTGGATTTGATGAGAAAAGTACAAAAGTAATTTAACAATCACATGCTATTACTATATATAACAAGCATTTTTTCGAGTACATTTAGGAAATTTAAAAAAAAATATGTAAGCAGAATTTACTATTATTACAGTAATGAAACAACTTTTTGGAAATATGATGAAAATATTAAGTATCTATCCATTATATGCATTCAATTTTTGAAAAGTTACATGTTAGATTTTAAACACAGATATTGAATGCCAGATTTAGAACGACTGTCGATTTATTTTAAACAATGCAAAATTAAAATTCTAATTCTAATTTTTTTATTGAATTTAAGTTCTTAATTGCACCACACCCCTTAAAAAAGGGTGCATGTGGTGTACTCGCAATTTTAAAAATTATTTGTTGCTTTGTAAGCAAAATAACATGTTAGTTTTGTTATATTTAAATTTTTAAAAATACCTACAGGGTGCAGAAAGAATAGAAAAAGAGAAATTAACTAAATTTCTTTAACTTGTGCGTTCATTTCTTTTTGTCTACCATTTTAATTATAAAATATTTTACTTGTCTTAGTAAAAAAAATACTTTTAATAATAGGATCTACTAAAAATTCTACAAAAAGTTTACTATTCAAGCCAAATATCTACCATTTTAGAGTTGTATTTAGCAAGGAAGCAGCATTTGTATTGGTATTAAGTAAGGTAAATGACAATGTGAAATAGTTCGCTTGCGCTGTACACAATCGCTGTACGCAAAATGTTCGCAATATAAAGCAATCGATTCGGCGTAGACGGAATACATTAAAGGAATTTGGGGGAAAACTCTGATAAAAAACCGTACTGTATAGTAATAACATTTCTGGTAATTTTTTTTTTCTTAAATTGAAAAACAAACCGTACGGTTTTTAAACCATTATTTGATCATTTTTACACTCATATGGTCCGAAAATTTTGGTTTTCATAATTATAGTTCTAATTATCAAACATTCAGTAAACAATATGAAACTAAAAGCAAATTTAACCGAAATAATGATTTTAATGTCATGCACTAAGGTATCATTTAAAATTACAAAATTTTACCACATTTACCAAATTTCATAAGAACCATATCGCTTGATAATTTTCTGAAAATCATTACCAATAACAACTAACGAGCTTTTTTCAGTTTCTATGAAACCGGAAGCACTGTGAATTTTATCATATTCTGCTAGTTTCAGCGTAGAAAACTTCTAGTACGCTGAAAATTTCAATAAGCGTTTGTACCTCTTCATCGCTGAAAAAGGTGGCCAATGAAATGTCTTTATTAATAAAGTCTACTTTTATTTTTAGTTTTAGTTTTTGATGTCAATAAACTTTTTTATCAGTTAAGTCTACTTTTATTATTTTTAGCTTTTGAATTTCAGGAAATTTCTTTATTTGTATAGCCAACTTTTTTATTTTTAATAAAATTGCATGAAAATTGATTGTATGGTTTTCTTTTGCCTCAACCTGTAAATCGTAATATTTTTGTGCATTTACATTTCATTATATAGTCCCAAGTGCCCACCATTAACCAAAAAAAAGATCATTAACTATCCATACGTATGGAGTTAACTATCCATACTATACCGACCGGCCTGTGTAGGGGTTAGGAAACTGCCCTTGCCTCAGAAAGGTTCTGGGTTCGAATCCCGGGCAAGGCATGGATGTTCTATCCTTCCTTTTACTATTTGTTCTTACTGTGGGAGCACCGTTGGCCCTCCTAATATGGTGCCCCTGAAAGAGAGCCCAACAAATCTGCCCTGTAAATGCCTGAATTGACGAAAAATGTTAACACAGGTGAGCATTGAAAAAAAATTATCCATACTTGAGTTAATTGACCTAAGCCGTAACTGGTATAAAAATTAAGTTAAGTTAGTTTAAAAAAATTTAAAAACAGAATCCAAAATATTCAATATGGATTATTGATGTATACATTTTATTGTAAGCTGGGGGTGCGATGAAAATTGTGATTGAAAACTGAACCGCAAATATTGAAAGGTTGAGAAACGCTGTATTAAATTATTTAAATTGCATCATTTTGTTTAAATTTCTTAACAATTATTGTGAAATACATACATATTATTAATCGATATTAAAGTGAGAAAGTCAAGAAAACGTTATTGAAGGCTATCAAATCATTATCGATGAAGGTGAGGCTAAAAATAAACAAACCTATTTAATTACTGGAATGTTTTCATTTTTATGTAACCCTTCTTTTAAAGTTTTTAGAAAAAGGATAAAATACACTTCTATTCCCCGCGATTTATTTAAATTATTTTAATCAATCAAACAATTCCCAGATATTCTCATCACGTCAATCAAAGTAAATGCAGCTGCCTTACTGGAAATCTGTATAGATATGAATTTATTAAATAAAAAAGACATGATAATTGGTCCATTGAATGTTGACTTTTATTTAAATGCATCATTTACTCCACTAATTCAGCACCTGTTTCTACATTTAGAAACAATTCTCTAAAAACGGCATTATTGCATTTCATTCTTTTGTTTTGCTGATTAAATAAAGCTTCACTTTCATATTAAACACAGTCTAATTTTTTTTTTTGGTTTCCAAATTTATATAAAAACATTTAGCGATGGAAACATTAACATTTTAAATGAAAAAGTTAATAACATGCACTTTACATCTTAAATTACAACAAAGAATATAACAATAACATATAAAAATTATAAAAATATTTAAAAATTAAATTTCAAATGAACAAACACTAATATAACATTATTTTTTTAATATTTTAAATATAATTTACATTTTAAATAAGCATTTATTATTATATTTTCAACAAAACCTCGGATGATGATCAGCTAAGTGTTCCCCTAATCACCACCGCTAACGCTTATTTTTAGAAACATTGACGAAATAAAAAATGAAAAGGTGTGCATACTAGTATCAATTAGTATTATACTGTTACATCCAGATTAAAGTAAGGATGAAATAAAATCAATATCGAAACTATTACGAATCGTTTCTTAAGAAAGCGTCCTAAAAAATCAAAACTTGCATCATTGCTAGATGATGCGGAAAGCAATTAGGTGGCAACATTAATCCCTTTGTGGTCGTATTAAGCAGAATCAGGATACCTTTTCTGGATAAATAAAATCTGCTATTCTTTTTAAAAGTTTGAAATTGCTCTTGAAGGGTTGAATTGAAATTGAAGGGATGAGTTTGGTATTCAATCAGGCGTTTTTAAAATTTTTGAAACACTTTACATTTTTTTAAATTTTGTAACCGTCATTGAACTGCTGACTTAATTTTTGAGTTAACAACTGCCAATTTTCAAATCCGTCGACGTAATTTTAAACCCAATCTGGAAGAGAGAACTCCTGAATCAAGTGTTGGGAGAAATACAAGAAACGAATGAAATAAAAATAAAAATATGACCACCGAAGCCGACGTCTTCAGGGGGTACCGGGCCAATGATATTTGGCCCGTTGAGGGTTTTTCTGAGTGGAAAGCTAATATTATTGAAAGGGTTAAATTTAATTTATTTAATACCAGTTTTAGTTCATTTCCCAAAGGTACTTATATTGATTATGATTTATCTAGAAAAATTAAAAATATTAAGGATAAATTCATTGTTACTGTTGTAGATAAGGCTTCAAATAATTTCTGTATTTTGAGTAAATATTTTTTTAAAAACTTGATTATTGGAGAATATAATGCAAATAATACTTATTTAAAATTCAAAGAAGATAAAAAAAGTCATTGAAAAAAGAATTATTGCATTTAGTAAAAAATTAAAATTTAAATTAAATAGGATTACATTTCCATATTTATTTCCAATAGTTAAATTTCATAAAAATCCGATTAAATTTAGGTTTATAGCATGTGGTACTAATAGTTATAATTCTGATATTAGTAAAAGGTTTTTTTGTTTTTTAAAAATTATTTTGCTTAAAATTAAAAAAGAGAAAAATATTATTATTGAAAGTAATGTTGAAGTTTTGGATTTTATTAAAAGTAATGATATTTCCAGCATTAACACTTTTGATTTTGAAAATTTGTATACCAGCATACCACATGAAAAAATTATTGAGATTTGTGAAGGTATTTATGACAAGTATTTATTTGATGAAAAAATTGATAGGTTTAACTGGTTAGATTTATGCAAGTTTAATCTTTTTGAGAATGTTCTTTTTAATGGTTTAGATTTTTATAAACAAATTATTGGAATTCCACAAGGTAATTCCTTTTCTGGGGCTTTTGCCAACATTTTTTTGCACTTTTTTGAGGCTAAATTTCTTGAACATAAAGTACTTAATGCTTTCCGATACATTGATGATTTGATTTTGTTTAATTGTGACGATTATAATTTTATTTATACAATTTATCCTGGTGATTTGGTCCTGAAAAAAACTAATGAAAATTGCTTTAATATTGAATATTTAGATTTTAAAATTGATATTGTTAACAATTTTATTAAAATTGGTGTGTTTGATAAAAGAAAAGCCTTTAATTTTAATGTTATTTTTTTCTGCAACTTTAAAACTAATTTGTGTAGTAAAATATTCAAAAATCTTGTTTTTTCGCAATTAGTTAGGATCAAGAAAATTTGTAATAATGTTGAAAGTTTTCGGGAAGCTGTGGATAATTTTTTAAATAATTTGAGTAAAAATGATTTTCCTTTTAATTTTTGTAATGTTAATTTTTTAATTAAAAAAATGATTGATGGTTTCTAAGTTTTTATATAATTTTTTCTTTTAACAGCGCGCAATTCTAGTCTTAACTGAGCAGCCCCAGTTAAGCATTCTATTAATTTGTCTACGTATTTCTTTCTCCTGATCTTTTCCATTTCATTTTAAACTTCTTCTGCTCATTATAATAGGGGGCGTTGGTTTTTCAGTTTTTAGTGTTTGCTTTTCTTCTACTTGCTTTTGAAGTTGATGCTTGACCTGTGACTTAGTGAGTTTTTAATTTTCTGATTATTTTGATTGAGTTCTTAATTTGTTAATTATTTTGAATGTATCTTTTTTTTCCTGGACCTCTGTACAAAACCATCGGGGTACTGAGGGAGATATTTTAAGAAATTGCTTCTCCCTCAATCAGAAATGGTTTTGTTTTTAATGGCTACCGAGGCCGGTACCCCCTGAAGACGTCGGCTTCGGTGGTCATATTTTTATTTTTATTTCATTCGTTTCTTGTATTGATACTTTTTTCTGAAATTTCTGCTGCTTCTTAGCGCGTTTTTTTTCAAAGAAATTTTATCCTTTTCGAATTTAATTTATTGTGTTTTCTTTCAGTATTGGGAAAAATTTGTCCTCGAGGAGAACTTTTTGAAGGAACTAACCCCGTAATTGTATTACATAGTGAAAAACCAATAATGCTTCCTCGTTTGGCCTGAGTGCAAGGGGACTTAAGCTTGTGATCTGTCTACCACTGAAGATAATTTAAGTCAGTTATATGATCGGTGCGAGCCACGTGTGGAATTCATATCAGCCAGTCATCGATGGGATTAAACCCGGGTCACCTCATTAGTTGGCGAATGCTTTATCCTCTAAGCTACCACGGCTCACGTGTATTTTTGAGATACTAGGTGTTTCCACAAATCCATAAATTCCGAACACCATGAATGTTAAGATTCATGGAAAAATCATTAGTCTGCTGTAGGTTAAGTTGACTCATCGAGCGCAACTAGGCCGACTAAATATAAAGCTCAACTAGGCTATAGTGGCCCTTGAAACCGATAATGTTCAACAATTTCAAGGCCATTAGCAACGTGGTCAATAATTTACATCAGCCACGCATGCTGTAGAACACAGATACAGATCCAAAGATGGTTTATATTGGGATATTTGAGGCTATAAAATGTATTCTTCATTTAAGACGTGCTTTTTTCAAGGGTATTTCTAAGTGAAAGTGACATTAGAACAGATGAATAATTGTAAAATCATAGGAAAAAATTATAATTGACAAAATGGTAAGTAATACAGTGATAAGTAACATTTTTATTTAATCAGGAAATAAGTTTTGATGTGGAAAAACACACAATTTCCATTTAAACAGAGAGATGTTTTGTGTAAGTTATTTGAAACTTCTTCAGTAAGTATCTAAAAACAGTTCTAAGGAACAGTGTTATTTTAAAATTAAAAGTACAAGAAAAGTTATTGCCAGCCACTATCTTTACATCATCATTTTAATATATTATGCTACATTTTGTTGAATGGAATATTGTTTTTTTTTTNTTTTTTTTTTTTTTTTTTTTTTTTTTTTGTAATTTATTTTAAAATTACATGTTTAAAATGTGGAAAAAACTGATTGAGAAAATAAAACAAAACAAATAAAAAAAATCAAAGGCAAAATTTAACATTATTTTGAACTTGGAATGTTGCATTAATTCTCAGTACATTGAGAACAATGAAAATAAGTTCTTAGTTTAAGTCAGGAAAACACCCGCAAAACAATAAAGTAAAGAAAATAAAAGTATAAATCAGTAACAAAGAGTTTATTTTCACGAAATATTTGTGTAAATGACGCTGAGCCTAAGTTCAGTAAAGTTTTGACATTAAACAATCACTCTTAAAATTAGGACGCTTAAAAATATACAATTGATAATAATTTTTCATATTCGGTTTGCTGATTCTTCCAAAGCCTATTATCCTCCTTATGTATAACCAGTTTGTGCATCGGTCTGTATAAGCTTTTATATTGTAAATTTAGTACTGATTTCTACAATTCTAACTTATCGAAACAAGTCTATTTAATACGAAACACTAAAACTTCGTTAATACATTTCAGATCATTATTGTTACACCATCTAAAATTGAAACTATATAATTAAAAATAAAAATTTTGAAATAGAAATATACGATCAAAAGTTATGAAGTTTTGTTTGAGTTTCATTATGTTTATTGTGAAAATTAAACAGCTGCTCTATTTTGTTGACTCACGAATTTATTTTCAATCTGATTATTAGATTCTGTGATGATATAAATAGCAATGGGTTAATTCTTTTAAATCATAAGTCTTCAATACTTTCATTTCTCAGGTAGGAATGTATATATATATATATATATATATTTATGCATACATATATATAAATTAACATCAAATTTTATTCTGTTCCAAAATTATTTAGCTAAAAATGCGCTTCTGCCTAATTTAATGCCATAATAAAAATAACTTGGAAATGATTAGTTATAAATTTAAATCAGACAGAATTGTGAAGAGGACAGCTCGCTCTTCGGAAAAATAATAGATATTTACTCAAGAGAACAGTAATTTCAAATTAAGCGATTATTATTCGATTATTAATTAATTTAGACTTTACTTGTAGCTAATGGTAACTTTACAGTACCTTTATACTAATACAATTATACTAGAACCTTTATGGAAGTCTACTTGCAAAATTTTCAAAAGGGTAATTATTTTTTAAATTTATAGCTAGAAATATGTTTTTAATAGTTAATGTTGAAAAAGATGCTTGTAAAAGGGGAGATCCAATTTTTATTTTAATTTCATTTTGATAAGTATTGAAATAGATTTAATTGGTCGTAACAGGTTTATAAATTAATACTGAAGAGTAATTTAGGTAAAAAGTCAATTAAAATGCATTAAAACAAAGGGAATCAAGGAATATCTGAAAAAAGTTTTCTTACAACTAAAAAAACTTTTCAAAGATTCAAAAATAATCTGAGAAATCAATGTGTAAAAGTAGTGAAAGCGATAAAATTATGACGATCATGAAACTAAGCTTAAGTTACTCAGAAAATGATATTGGTTTGTGACGAGGTTGTGAATCACGGTTTGCGACAAACTAAACAGCGGTATCCCCTAAAAAAACTGGAAAAAAATACAGTACCTTAAATCCTCAACAATCGGCGAACCTCTTACTATTAGAATACGAAATTATCCTTCATGCATAGATAGTGCAGAACCCACAGAGTTCAAATTTCCTTTCACGTTTCCTTTTTATGGTTGAAAGTGGTTACAAAACTGTAAAAACTTGTATTCACTGTTTTTTAACTGTAGTAGTTGAAAACTGGGTAAAAAACCGTAAAGGTAAAAAAAAAAAAATTCCAATTTTTTCGGTTAATCAGATGGGCTGATTGCTGCAGATAATTTGCAGAATGAAAATTCTAATAGTGTTTATTAACGGGCGTAATAAGTTATCTTAAATCTTTCGTAAAATTCATATTCTTGAACAAGTTAAGATAATAATGTTCTCAATTTGATGAAATATTTGTTTGGATGCTTCGTCAAAAAAATGCGAAATTGGAATATTCGATTTTTACAGAGCATAGTTTTTGCATTTTAATACAGACTAACAACATTTGTTTGCATTTAAAAACAAAATTCCATGTAACTGTAGCCGTACGCTTTTTATAACGGAAATAATTTTATAGTGTATTTTAAAATAACATTAATATTTTTCCTTAAATTTCTGATACTCTATTTCAAGTGACAGGCAATGTATAAAAGATTTTTTTATCTTAATTTCAGATTCTCAACATCAAGGGCCTGCCATGCATAAAATATTATTAATCCTACTCTTCATTCATATCATAGTTATAGATGCAGTTGTTCCAATTTGTCCAATACTTTGCCCAGAAATTAAATGTGACCCAGGTTACGTACTCAGAAGAATTGGTTGCTGCGATCAATGTGTGAAAGGTGAAAGTACTTTTCTTTATAAATTTAGTAATTTAAAAGGAAAAATATTTGCTTTTAATTTTTATACGTAACAATATTATTTTTGCATTCATGTATCCCTTATTTAATTAAATTAGGACTCCGTGTACTAAGTTGAATAACTCTAACTGAAAGTGAAAACATTCTAAAGTCTAAACAAGTTGCTTTTTACTAAATTAAACCCTGCGTAACATTAAAAAATTCCAATTCTTTTTTTTTAGTCATAAGGACTTTAATTTATGAAAAATTATTGATAAACTTTTTAAACGCTTATCAAAAAGGAAATATAAGAGTTAGTAATTATTCTGGTAGATTAACGATGTCGATATGTTTCGAATCGCTTGTGTGAAATACACGGAGAAAAATAATCAAAAATATTTCGATCAAGATTATCTTGGAAGCCTTACTAATAATCGCCTTTCAAATCTTCGATATTTTCCTTTGAAATAAGATTTTTTTTAATGTTTTCTGTCTCTCCCTTTTTAGTCTTGATTCGTTACATTTTTGATAGAGCACATGTTAGAAATAGTAAAATTTTAGTTCCTAATGCTTATACTTTTTTCAAATTACATTTAGGACAGGGATTCGAAAAAGTATTTATTGAGAGTAATTATTGAGGACAGCTCTGTGAATGTTTATGTTTAAAAGAATTGTTTCAATAAATTTATCAATATTAATATATGTAGTTACTGATTTAAGTCTAGGATTTTTCACTCATTAATTATTAATTAGGTTACTTAAACGTGATACAGAGCAAATAAATTCAGTGTTTTTTGTTAGTAAGGTGCGTTTGTTAATCTTTGAAATCATTTGTTTTCTTCATGCCTGTATGGCATAGTGAGATTGAAGAATTTTATTGTCCTTTTATGGTTTGCAAAGCCAATTTAGTGCAGAATATCCGAAATGATTTTTAATGCTGTCACAATATTATTTCTCTACTAAGAGAAAAATATAATAATCACAGAAAAAATTTATTTAAATTATGATGGTTTTCAAATGTATTTTAAGTGTGTCTGTCGCAATTACAAAAAAAAACGAAAATTTATAATTAAATTATGATTTAGTTCTTACGCTATGAAAGCTTCATTAAGAAATAATATGTTTTAGGGTAAAGTTTTCAAATTTTTCTTCTTTCAAACAATACTCATTTTCTCAATCTTCACAATTTTCAATTACATTTCATAGATATTTAAGTATTGTTAGTTGTCCCATTTGTTTCCTAAAGAAATACTTCACAATCTCAATAAGAATATTTGTTGCAATATATATATATCTGAGGATTTTGTACTCATTTACTTTTAATTTAGTTGACATAAGCGTACTATAGGGAAACTAAAATTAAACGTTTCCTGTCAGTAGGATAGATTTAATTTATAAAATTGTTAGAATTCACTATATTTGTGTAGCATTGAGTGATGAGAGTCCTTTTATCCTTTTTGTGTTTATAGTTCGGCGGAGTCAATTTAGCAAATAGTAACTAAAGTGATTTTTAATACAGACAAAAATGTGTTTTTTTGTTCGAGTGTTTTCCACGAAAAACAGAAAAAACGATTTAATTCAGATTGGTTTTAAAATGCATTTCTAGCATTCTGTTAGAATTAACTAAACGGTAATTTTACGTATAAATATTAAATTAGTTCTTAAGCTATGAAAGTTGTTTATAAAGAAGTAATAATATGTTTGGTTGACATCATATTCTCTCTAAATTCCCCCTACTGGGCAAAATAAAATTTAGCTAAATTTAAATACTGCATGGTAATGTAATTTCTCGTCAAAATTTCTCAAATTTCTCTAATAAAACCATTAATATGCGATATTTAGATAGACAAATACGATTTTTAAATCAAACAATTTAAACCATTTTTTTGGCAATTTTCCCATTCTTATGGTAAAGGTTCAGCGGAAAATCCGGTTTTCGATATTATCGTTGTTATTACCCGTCATATAGTCAACAACACAAATTTTTTAAATATAAATTTTTGTCAACACCGATTAATGCTTTTTTCTGTAATGATTTAAGGTAGTATAAAAAAATTAACAAATTTTACTAAATTTTCGAAATTTTATCACATATTATAAAAACACATTTTATTGTTAATTTTGTCAAAATCGTTACCAAAAATTATCAAAACTTTTAGTGTTCTCATAGAGTCGGAAACATAACGAATGTTAACCTATTCTAGTAATTAAACCATAATTTTTTTCTCAGTGTTGAGAATTGATTACGTTATATGCGGCGCACTCCTCTTACCAACTATTATAACACTAAAAGTTGGCATTGTTATTGGTACTACATTTCTGAAAGTATTACATACATCGCTTTTCATTTAAGCTACTCTTATACATATTTATAAGAAGAATATATATTTATTATATTATTTAATATAGTTAAAAAATTATATAAATTCAATGAGGTAAGCACACTCAAAGTTTATTTCTGCCAAACATTCAAAAGGAATTGAATGCCTTAAGCAAAATTCTGCCTATCGATATCGACGGAAAAAAATGGCTTAAGATAAAATCAGGGAAAAATATGGGTTTAAAAGACTTATAAAGAATATTGATTCAACATAAAAGTAATTTACGTCAGTCAATGATTCTCTTAGGCCTTGGTGGCACAAGGGATAGAGTGCTTTATTCCCAATGAATCGACCTGAGTTTGAAACTCAGCAGTAGCTGGTAGATACGAATTCCGTACCTGGCTCGCACTGACCACAGTGCTAAAGTAAAATATCCTCAGTGGTAGACGGATCATGGTTTAGACTATCAGCTTAAAAAAGCTTTAGTACACTTTAAATTATGCGTGCAACCTTTGAAGGTCATAAAATATACGTTTTCTTGCTAAATAAAAATTTATATTTTTCATTTTCCTAATACTTAACTTTTTTGCAGATAGTTATTCACTCAGCCTCAAATATGTCGTGAATAGCCTTGAAATATTTCGTAAATTTATATTTTCTACCAGTCGTTAAACAACCGACGAAATTTTGGTTTGCGACTACTAATGTTCATCACCGTAGCCTTGTAATTTTGAAGCCAATCCAGGCAACAAGGAAACTTCTGGATCAAGTGTTGAGAAAAGTGTTGCCTTCTTGGTGAACTTTTTGCTGCAACTAGATCGTATCTGTATTACATGGAGTGGGAAAACCCGAAAACCTGTCACGGTAGGCCTATCGGCAAGGAAAGTCTAACCCATGATCTGTCTAACATTGAGGACATTTTTAAGTCAGCACGGTGATCAGTGCAAGCCATGTTTGAAATTCGTATCAACCAGCCCTCGTTAGAATTCGAACCCGATTCACCTCATTAGAAGGTGAATGCTCTATCCATTGAGTCACCTCGGCTCAGTATTCCGAAATTAACAAAAAAGTTGATCCGTAATTAAAAAAAGATGATCCTAAGTCTATACCTTATCAAAATGCAACTATTTTCACATTTATTTCAAAATGCTTTATTTTCTGCCGCTTATTGTTTGCCAAAATTTCGTATTGTGAAAGAAAAGTTACACTGTAAGAAAGTTAAGAAATTAATTTTGACTACACAAAAAATTTTCACAAAATCTCAGAAAACTTCATTTGATATTATGTTTCTGATCAATAGAAAAACATTTCTATTCTTTTCATAAGTAGCAAACTGAGTTGAAATTGACGTCGATTCAGTTTCAGAGGTTACCAAAATATTAAGAAACGTTTATAAAAATTACTTGTACCGTCATTGCTTCATATATTCAGAAATGTTCGGTTTTTTTAACAGTATTTGTGTTTTACAATTTCAAAAAAATCTTAGATTCTATGTAAGCGAGACCTATTCCGACGCCTAGAAAAGTCTGCCTAATAGTTAAGTGCGTTGAAGTTTAACAGCAAGTAAAGTTATGTTGTGGCTGCTATGTGTGAAATTTAGTTAAGTTTTATCTTTAAGTTACAAACCTATGATGAAATTAATACGTTTAATAGCATTCTGAAATAAATAAACTGTTTTTTTGTGTGCGGTCGTGTTTAATAGCAGTTACTCATGTTAACGCTGACTTAAATGTTTTCATACTTTATATAAAATAATGCATTAATGTATATTTCTTAACAATCTTTCACTAAATGTGGCATCTACAGAACCAGATGATTGTCAAACTGATTGTTCAGGAACATACCATTGTCCCTTTATACCAGCAGAATGTCCAGATGGTGAAGAATTGGTAACACCAATATGTAGATGTTGTCCAGAGTGCCAAAAATTATAGGTATTATTTTGATGCAATTAAAAGAGAATTCACTAATTTTAAAATATAATTTTTCTGTTTGGCATATTTGGTGATACAGTTACCCTTCCATGATCTACAGTTTAACACGGGATTAAGCAAATTAATTCAATGAAATGAAAATAATATATTGGGTTGTCAGATAATATTTCGGAATCGCACGTTGATTTCAAATGTGTAACTAAAGAATAACATGGATCAGAACTAAACCTTATTTCGATTGAGTTTTCAACTCTTCTAAAACATTTTAAAAACATTTAAATTTTAATTACTTATTTTTAAAATTAATGTAGGAAACTATTCATTTTTCGTGTGAAAATTAATGAATTCAGTAAACAGAAATTAAAAAGAAAAGACTAAATTCTCGCACCTCCACCGAAAAAAAGTTTTAATAAATTTCTGTTTTAAAACATGTACAATATAGGGACAATGATTTTTCCTCAAATGTGCAGGCGTAAATCATGTACTTTAATATGCACCATTACAAGAAGGAGTAAATGACTAATCTCTTTTTCAATGAAATCAGTTTTTCTCAAAAAAATATCCAATTTTTTTATGATATTGAATATGCTACTCTCTTCAGAATAAATGAAAAAAAAATAGTACATATTATTTTAAAGTTATATTTTGTACGGAATTATTTTTGAATAAATAAATTTTATTATTGTGGTCCAAAATTTCTCAAATCTCTTAAAACGCTTCCTAGAAGCGCATTAAATTAGCATTAAAA